AGCAAGGAGTGTAATCCCCACCCCCGCTCCGCCCTATTGCCATTCCTACTAATGAGTACTAGTTTGCCCACCTTATTTGTTTGGCTTTATAAGATGAAGGGGACTAAGAGTATGGTGGGATTGAGTAAGGAGATTATTAATGTGGTGATATTAGATTTGAAATGTAAGATAAAGAGTATTTGTTTGTACGCTACCAGATTATATATTTCTGAGTTCAAAAAAAAACTAAACACTAAAAATTTTTTTATCCCCAAACACAAATTATCTGAAAAAATTTTAGGGATAAATTTTTTTTTTGTGTTTAGGGATAAAATTTTTTTTACCCCTAAAAATTTTTTTAATTAAATTTTTTTTCAAACCATATATAGCCTAAAAATCTTTTGATAAGTCATTTCTTATGTTGGTTTAAAAATCAAACCATACATAGCCCAAAAAATGAGTTATTTTTAAAAATTTTACTAATAATTTAAACAATACATAGCCCAAACAAAAATTTAAAAATTTTACTAATAATTTTTTTTCAATTAATTTTATGTGAAAAAAAATTAATTGAAAAAAAAGTTATTTTTTCAATAAAAGTTATTTTTTTTTCAAAATTATATAGTTGATTATTATTTTCTATTATAAATTATTATTATATATATTTAATATTAGCCTTAATTTTATAAAATAAAATTTATATATATTAAAAATTATATATGAATGCGAGTGTGTGAGAGAGAGAGAGAGTGTGTGTGGGTGTGTGTGTGAGTGTGAGTGAGTGTGTGTGTGTGTGTGTGTGTGAGAGAGAAAGAAGATGCTGGGTTTGTGTTTTGGTTGAAACACGTTTTCACATTTTGTTCAGATCAGTCACGCTTTTTGTGATCAACAATAAAAGTGTGGTTTGAAATCATGTTTTTTGAAAAAAAATAAATTTTACTTAAAAGTGTAGTTTGTAATCACGTTTTTACTTTTTCACAAATTTTTCGCTGGAGGGGCTTGGAAACAGTGAAAACGTGATTTGTAATAGAACTTTAGCCTAGTTTGGGAATTCCGTCCAAACTAGACCTAGTTTAGGAAATAACTTGATATTTTGACTTATTTAGGGAAAAGCCCCCACAGTTATTACTTCCAATGATTGCCAAATGTCATAGTACATGGCTGACTTTGAGAAGTTAGCAAAAAGTTAATTTTTAACTTTTTTTAGTCAAAAAAGTTAGCTTTTCTACCCAATTCACTACCCAAAAAGTTAACTTTTTTTAGCTAAAAAAATTTAAAAATTAATTTTTTACCAACTTCTCAAAACACCACACAGCTAGCAAAGGATTCATATCGGTTGGATTGCGAAATGATGTCCAAATCCATTCACTATCTTAGTCTTGAATTTTTTTTTTTTGTTGGGCCCAGCCAAATTATGGCCAAAATCATAGGTCCAAGCCTGTCCAATAGATTGGGCTGGTGGGCTAAACCTATTTTTTTGATTTATTTGTTTGTTTTTCTTACCTTTTCATTTTTCTCACGAGGCAATCAATGGATTGGTTGATGTGTCGCCTCTCATGGACCAACAGTCTAGATTGGGCTTTAAAGTCTAGGCCTAGGCCCAATCCAAATCTCATTTGTGTTTGGCTAGCCTGCTTAGGGTATGGACTTGGGTTGGGTCCAATCATGACCCATTACAGTTGCCAGCACATGATTGTATAGAGATTGGGATATGGCATTGTTTGGTATTTTCAATTTGAGTTGAAGAAATCATTTTTTTTCAACAAAAATTACAAAATTAATTTTTTCATCAATTTTACTATGATATTTTGATCTTTTTGCATCCATATAAAAGAAGTGTATAATATGATATTTTTGTGCATAACATTATCAATTTTCTTCTTATGAGTGGAATATCGTTTATGTTAAAAATAGTCTAATGAACTGTTAATAAAGGTAAAAAATGTCAAAATATTTAATTTGAGTTATGCTAATAATAATCTCACCAATAAAGGAAGAAAAATATTAAAATATTTAGAATCTCAATATATTTTTACACAACTCTAAATACTTTACATATTTTTATATACTTTTCGTATATGTTCGTTGCAACTTATTAGAATCGTTTATAAGTTTTTGTGAAATTTAAAAATTTATATCAGAGTGTTTGAGTAGTTTTTATTTATAATTCATGAGGTAAAAAAATTTGAATAAATTCGAAAAAAGAAATAATTATATGAAGGGTCCTATTAAAGGCAATTTTTAAAGAAATATAAAATGGTAAAATATTTATATTTTAATATATATATTTTTTTACATATTTTAATGTTTAATATATTTTCTTAATACATTTTTTAACACTAACAACTGTCTAAAGAGTTTTTTAGCATTTAAAAATAAATAAATTTGAGGAATGTTATATTTACTTAAATTCTTATTAAAAACACACATGTCTAAATATTATTATTTTTTTAATAATTAATTATGTTGAATCTCTTATGCTTTTAATAAGATTGTTTTAGGTCTAGTTTGGCAATATCAAAATAATTCATCTTTTTATCTTTTTATCTTTTTTCAATCACATCACCTCTCTGCTTTTTTACACATCTTTTTACAAAAAGATAAAAAGTACACTTATTTAGGTCATCCCAAACAACCCCTAGCCTCCGTTTGGGAAGTGGGTTAACTTTTTGAATTTTTGACTTTTTTGACTATTTGAGCCTGGGCTCAAAATCTTGATTTAGGAAGAGTTTTTTGACTTTTTGATTTTTTTAATTTTTTTGTGAGAGAAGAGTGTAATGATTATGGGTTGGATGTGATGTTTTGTCTGTTGTGACTCAAATAGCCTATTCTGTCTTTTGTGACTCAAAGAGCCAAAGGAATTCAAATGAACTCTTCCCAAACGACACCTTAGCATCCAAGAATTATTGAAAAGGAATATCAAGAAATGAGTTTTTGTACTGGAACACATGAAGACAATACAAATTTGGCATCTTATAAAATTACATTTATCATGTATAATCTGAGGGGTGACTCAATCACTTCCCAAACAGGAACACACAAGTGCTAAAAGGTGACCCCCTGTTGGGTCAAAGAAGTGATCATCATGAAACCAATGCGTGTCCAAAAATCAGACCGAGTCATCAAAGATAAATTATTGGGTGGTCTAGGACATTACAATTGTATATCATTAATTAAAGAATTAGATTTCTTTCATATTAAAATTCTAATATAAAAATATTTGTGAAGTTCGTAAAGTGCATCATTAGTCTCGTTTCGATAATCAAAATAATTTATTTTGTATCAATTTATATTACCTATAAAAAAAATTAGTTCGAATATTTTCATTTTATAACAATTGTCTCCAAAAAAATAGGCGGTAAATATATTTTGAAATAGACTATTTATTTTGTGGAGACAAATGTAATAAAATAAAAAATTTACGATTATCGGATCGCTCTAAATTTTTTCTTGAATAATACACATTGATGATCTTACAAAATGAATGGTTCAGATTATTAAAACGAGACTCGTGGTGAGCCTTATGGATCCATCAAATTCTCTCATATTGAGATCTCAACATAAGAAAAACCCAACTTTAATTAAAATAGTGGAGACCTTGCTGCGGATTAGTTTGGAACTGTCACTCTGGTGGGGCTCTTTCTTTTGAGTTAGGTTAAATCTAACTGTTAACCGGTTATCTCAAGGTCAGAGCTTGTGGAAGTTATGATGCTCTTATGGAGAGAGCTTGTGGAAGATATGAAGCTCTTATGGAGTTTTTTTTTTTTTTCTTTTTTTTTTCCAGTTAATTCTTGTTGTTTAATTAACTTTTTCAAATTTTGTTTATGATAATTTTTTAAAAGTCAATTTGGTAAAAAAAAAAGAGAAAATAATTAATTTTTTTTAGATGAAACTAATGTTTAAAAATGAAAGAATATTTTTTTATCTTTATTTTTGTCAAACTAATTTAATTTTTTTGGAAAATTTTAAAAAATAAATTTTAAAAATTAAATCAAAGAGCCAAGATAATTGGTATAAAATGCGAGTAGAGCAATGCTCAAAATGCTTCATGATTACTCGATAATTTTTCATTATGAGACCTACATTATAGAGAAGTTATTCAATAAGTATACAATGAATCAAATATAAAATGTGACAAATATCTCGCAAGAGATATGATTCACATGATGTAGGACCTATATATGAAATCCACTATTTGTGAGACACATTATTCTATTATGTGTTTTGTTTATATGTTTCTAACATTACTCACAGTTATTTGATGATATTGTAATAATTTTCATATCATTCGTTAAATAACAAGTATCATTTTGTCTTTAAAGAAAAAAAAAATTCAAAAAATTTTGTCTTTAAAGAAAAAAAAAATCAAAAATACTAGGATTTAGTTTGATTTTCAGAAATTATTTTTTTAAAAAATATAATTTAATTTGACAATAATAAATATCAAAAATATATTTTTAAAAATTATTTCAACAGTTCAAAAAGATAAAATTATATATATAAAAATAATAAATATATATATTTTTTCTTTTAAGAAACTAATTTTTATTTATTTGTTAATAAGTTCATAAAAATCAAACCAAATATCATCCTAATTTTCCTATTTTAAGAGTAAAAATTAGATTGGAATATTACATGGGATTTGTCCCAAAATCAGCAAATAAAAGTTTTCAAATTATAAAATTCGAAGTCAAACTCAACCACCGATGAGTCAAGGCAAGCCACTATTCCTTTGTAGTCCAGTCACTTTATACACCTCACCATATCTTATTCCCCGCAGGTAATTCTATCATTCCCTCTGCCCGAACTGCCCGCCCCGCCCGGTCTACTCTTCCCCAAGTACCAAGTACACCTTTCCTCTTTCCTCTTTCCACGTTCTCTCTCTCTCTCTCCATTGCTCTGTTTCTCTCTCTAGATCGTGGTAAGGCGGCTCTCTCTCTCTCTGGGATCTGAAATTCTAGGGTTCTGAGTTCGAATTAGATCGATACCGAATTGGAATTAGGGTTTTTGTGATTCCGATAAGGCAGACGAGGGTTTGGAGGCGATCTGAGGCTTTTCGCTGCGCGAATTGGTGAATTCTAGGGTTTTTGTTATTGTTGGAATTAGGGTTTGGGATTGATGGTTCTCGTTGGGGAGCTAGCTAATGTTGGAGAAGATGCAAGGGTATTATGCATGGAAGGGAAGGTGAAAATAGGAAACGGAGTCAGCACATGTGGTCGAACCCCACGACTGTAGCCGGTGATTCTGCAACGTCTACAGCTAATTCCTTCTTCAAGGTATTCACTTGGTGGGTCTTTCAATTGTTTCAGTATCACTTCTTATTGATTTGCTCTGAATTGTTGTCTGTACTTCATTTTTTTTAAAAGCTTCTTTTGTAGGGATTTTATAAAATTGACGTGATTAGGCCACATTTGTTCAAACAAATTAGGTTGGATGAGATTATGATTACGGTGAGATTGAGTGATGATGGAGTTATTAGTGTGGTTGTATTAGGTTAGAGCTATAAGATAGAGTGTGTTTGTTTGTCTTAATTAAAAAAAAAAAAAAAAAAAAAAACTGCAAATTGCGTAAAAGTCCTTGTAAACATACAAGGTAACTCTGTTGGTTTTGCAAAATGGTATTTTAGCTTCCAATATGGGAGGGATTGAAAGTCCCATGGGATTAGCAATCCCATGCCATTTGTCTACAAAGGAACATGATTTAAGTGGGTCCTACAGATTGCTAATCCAATCCCCTTTCCCAAACCCCCCAATCAAACATGGCCTTAGTGAATTAGCTTAAGCTACTTATAGTTTGGTTTTGGTTTATTTGAATGATATGAAACGGGAACAAATCCCAACTAGATAATCAATTTGTTTGGTACTGAAGGCTTTTAGGTTGTGTATGAGAATGCCAAGGAATATAGTTATCTGCCTCCGGGACAATTTGGAAATAAGCAGTAAACATGTCAGAGCAATGAAATTTTGCAGGTTAAGCAAAGTTGGAATTGTTGATTAGTGACGTAGAATATTTTAATTTTGTAGTATTATAGTATTGGTTTGAGTTAGGGGCACAATTTTTTGTGTACTCTGTAGTACATTCAAATGCAACATCTTGTATCAGTAGTATGCATTTGCGGTTTTGACAATTTAAAAAAAAAATTTACATTTGAAATTTGATAATTTAATATGGGTCATGCTATGGTACAAACCCTTGTCATAATTAGATCCTTTTGAGTCATAATTAAAGTAATTAAAAAAAAATCATAACCAAACACTTTGGAATCATAACCAAAATAATGTCATAATAACCAAAATCACAATGAGTCATAACTAATAGCACGAGTCATAACCAAGTCATAACTATTACGGTCATAACCAGAGACCATAAAAGTTGTAATTGGGGCATATGGTACACACCCAAAAAGGGATGTGGATCATAGAACTTTAACTTCCCATTTAATATATATATATATATATTTCTAGTAGTTCAAAAGAAAAAGGAAAAAAGGGGAAAAATTTTGCAATCTTTCAGCACTGTGATCTGGATAACAGTATATAGACACACTGCTTCAATATTTTATACCATGCACATTTTTTTTCCCAATAACTTCTTTGTTCTGTATGTATCTTATGTGTAGAGATGATGGGAAAATAGAGCTTTGACCATATACTTAGTGTTAGTAGACTTAGAATTTAACTGGTGCATGTTATGATGCTTGTATGATTGAATTTCATTTGCCATTTTGCTCAATTGACAAACTAAATGGTTTAAAGTGATCTCTCAGTAGACCAACTCTTTGGTCTCGTAAACAATCTTGTGCCTCTTGCTAAACACATCTGGTGAACTGCATTATGCCATTTACTGTTCTCTTTCTTGAGCCTGAAAGTCAATTGCAGAGGTGGGCTTGGCAATTGTTGAGCCCTCATGGCTTGTGCCAACTGTGGATGCCGGGTTAGGCAGGGTGTCTTGCTACCAAATATGTAAAGTTATCCTTAATATGGTGTTTACTATTCTAGGATGCAGCCAAAGTAAAAGCAATATTTATGCTTTTTACGCACATATGTTTACATTTTTGTAAACCCCTCTGTTTATGTTCCACTTTTTGGTGAACTTGGTGTATATTGTTTTCTCTATGTATCGTTTTGCATATGTTGAACCTTAATTTATTCCATTCTCATAGTAATCAAGATTACTAATTTATAATTTTCCTCACTGTTCAAACTTCAACAATATATATATGTATATATATAAAATCAAAAAATGGCTTGTGCTACTACGTGAAATGTCATCTCACCTAACATGTGACGACAGTGACAAGCCTCAAGTGGTTGTTCTCTTATGAAGAATAATACTAGATGTGAGAATGTTGTTAGTTACTATTAGAATGTTCTTTATTTTATCTGTAATGCTTGAATGTATGTGCAATATTATGGGATACTAATATCTGTTGTCCCACCATGGTCTCACCAAATGATCTGGAAAATTAAGTAGCATCATGTTTCAATTGCTTTTTGTTTTTCAGTTTTTAGGGTGGACAACCTATTAGTGTAGAAATTTGGGTGAGCACACCTTTGGTGGATCTTGAAAACTCAATTGCAGGAACTACTGCAATGAGGAGGCCTCTAGATGTCATTAGTCCACAAGGTGGTGGTATATGAAGCACATGTGTGGTTACGGATATGGGTACGGGCATGATATGGGTACGCTGATACGGCAAGATTTTTAAAAAATAGGATGTGTACAGTAGGGGGTACATCAATAAATTTTTTATTTTTTGTAATTTATAGTTTGAGATTCAATTTACAAATCAAAGTTCAATACCAAAACTAAAAGGGAAATTACAAAACCAAAAAAGAAATCATAGTTCAACAATACCAATACCAAGGCAAAGTCTATATGTTATTTTAATACCTCTAAATAGGAGAAATTACAAAATAAAGTTTCATTCCAAAAGTAAGTTAAGTAAAATTGGAAAACTTGAAATTTCAATTTTTACTTCCATCAATTTCATTATTGAATAATCCATCTTTTATCTCTAGCACATCAAATAAAGGATTTGCAATTTCAAGTAAATCAGAACTCTTTAATAAATTAAACGCATCTCCACTAATGTCCTATAACTTGGTGTACTCTTAATGTATCAATCCCGTACCCATGGAGTACCTAGTTGCCAAAGAATGTATGAAAAGTACCCGGTACGCATATAGCTTTATCGGTACAAGTAACAGTGCCCGGCACAAGTACGGCAACATTTTCAAATTACCTGTACTTCATAGAAGGAGAGTTGCTAGCTATGCAATCCTGATTGAAGAAAAGATCAACTGCAACTTTCTATGTAGCCCACTTGTGTGATGCATATTTCAACCATAAAAAATATTCGATTAGCGTCAATGTGTTTAAAGTATTATGGAGAATGTTTTAGGAAAAGAGAGAGATCCAAGCTATGATTGTGTGTGTAGCATGGTATTTTTAGTTTTTGGGACCTTTGGCTTGATCTGTTTCTTTTTTTTTCCCCTTCTTGGAGTAGAGGTGTTTGAGGGGAAATTGGAGGAAGGTGTGGGAGGTATTCCTCTTTGCATTATGAGGTGCTTGTGGAATCAGAGGAACAATTCATTTTTTGGGAATGTAGAGAGTTTGGTTTCACGCTGAAAATTCTTTTTCTATATTTTAGGTTTAGGGAGACATTTCATTATTCCTTTTTGGGTTTTTGTTGACTTTTTTAAGGAGTTGTATGTATGTATAGATCATAGATGTCAAATCGAGAATTGTGTCATGAATCAAAATCTTAATTTTGTGAATCAAATCGAATCGAGAATCTTTAGGACTTAATACAAACTATGAAAATAATAATGTTATACAATTGTATATTTGAAAAAGAATGATTTAAATTGATTTTGGCATATATTATAATATAAGGATATGATTACACCATCTAATTGGGGAGGCATTGGCTTCATATCAAGCGATGTGGATGCAAATCCATCAAATTATATAATTATTCAACAATCAAAGTATAATCTCTCTTGACATCAAAAAATGGACTAAGAACTCTATATGGAGTGTACTATGAAGAAAGAATTAAGTCAAATATTTCATTTTGAAACCTAAAACACTTTAAAAGAGGTGTATCGTTATCAAGATTGTTAAAATCGGGATCCTAAGTAGGATCGGTGAGAGGGTCTGGTGGATCGGATCGTAGGATCGGATCGAGGATCGTAAGATCCTACTTTCTATTAAAAAAAAAGATAAAAATAAAAATTAAAATGGTACATATTAAAAATAAGGTGAAAAATTATAAAATCTACGATCCTACTTGCGATCCTACCTACGATCTTATACGATCCCATACGATCCTACACGATCCCATGCGATCCTACACGATCCTGTTATAACATCGATCCTACAACAATCTGGATCGTTTTGGCAAAGTAGGATTGTAGGATTGACGATCCTACGATCCGGATCGCGATTTTAACAACCATGATCATTATTGCTTAATTTTTTTTTAAAAAAAGTTATGGAATCATTCAGCGTGCTTGGTTGCCGTTTTTTGAAAAAATTTTTGAAAAAATGATTTGAAAACTATTTTTTGAAAAAAAATGCTTGTTTGGTTTTCAAAAAAATATATCATTACAATTTCAAATTTCCCTCTAAATTAATGATTGAAACAATTAAAAAAGTACAAAAAAATCACATCAAAACATTTTCTCAGATTTTTTAAATATATATATATACATACATATATGTACTTATTCTACTAAAGTCTACCTATCTCATTTTCAAAGCCTACCTATATGTACCTATTCTACTAAAGCCTATCTATCTCATTTATTTTTTTGAAAACATAACTCATCTTTTAGAATAACCAAACAAGTTGTATAAAATTTTCAAAAAACCATATTCAAAAAACCACAACCAAACACAGTGATTGTTTCTGACTGATCTCACCAATATAATATTGAACCATATTTCTTTCACTAAAATAACTTTCACTAAAATAACAATAAATAATTCATGGGTGTATGCTTTTCAACTTTAAGCATCTTTAAAAGATGTATTGACATTTTTTGAAGGAAAAAAAATGAGAAAAAAAAGATGATGAACATAATGGATCTAGCGGGATCTGATTGGATCCTATTAAAAACTCTTTTACACTAAAATAACAATAAATCATAAATATTTATTAAACACTCTTAGAAGTTGTATTATGTCATATTCAAAAGAAGAAAAAAAGAAAAAGAAAGGAAGTTAAAAATGGGTCAAAATCTGTTGGACACAATGGTTTTAAAAATTGCTTCAATTGTAAGAAGTGAATTAAACCGTGAATCCTGCGATTCCATAGATTCTATCTCAAAATAGATTCACTCATAGATTCGTATCGATTTTTGAAAAATCACAAATCGAATTGCAAATCGTAAGATTATGATAATAGAGGTATAGATATATAGGGGAGTTAACTTTTTATTTTTTTGTATATGCTTTTTGCTTCAAATTATTTTCTTACCAAAAAAGGAAAAAAAGAAAAAAAGAGAGACCCAAGAGATGAACCATGTTTATCTAAACAAGTAGACTGATTGAAGTCCATTGAAAGCTAAACAAAACCATGCAGTGACATCTCTCACTCCCATTTGAAGATCTGCAAATGGAGGAATCATAGATATTTTCTTTTTTTTTGTTCTTGAAAGTTAGCAGCCCCATTTTTCTGATATAGTTTCTATTGTATCTTCTCACATGCATTGTAATGGCAATAGTAGTTCTATTCCTTAACTCTAAATGTCACCACTAAAAGCAAATGTGAATATGATTTAGGCAACCCCTGCTTGCACTAAATAAGTGAAAGCAAAGAACCACATATGTTTTAAACTCCCAGCCCACCTTGCAATGCTGGAGCCACTATTCTGAAATTTCTTTCTTTACACAATTGATCTATTTTAGTCCAGTTCCTTCCAAATAAAGAAACTATTTCAGCCGAGTTCCTACCAAACAAGGGGGTGCGCATATATGTTACGTGTGCTTGAAAATCTAACAATTCTAATAGTTCACAATTGAAATAGTTGAGAGAGGTTTCAAGCAGTTACCATATAGTTCACAATTAAAGCAGTTGAGACTTGAGAGTGATTACCTGCCAAATTTTAGGTGATATGGAAGTTATTTAAAGGAGAGTGAATGTGACGCAACTTCCATACAAAAATCTGTAGTCACTTTTGTGTCTAGTGGTCATATTTAAAATAAAACATTATCATTCAAGTATGAATTATTGTAGTGTGTGTGAAAATTATGCATCATTCATTACAATTTCAACCCTACATGGGTAACATGTCTAGTTTTTCATCTTTTTTCTTCATTTTCTTTTGGGATTAAATTAGGTTTGGAATATGATTGTTTACTAATTTTCTGAATCAATCATATAATTGTTTCCTGTGCTGCTTGTTGGCAACGTGGCCGATGATGTGCAATGGAAAATAGAATGGATCGCATCTTTCTTATCCAACTGAAATTGGAGAATTTTTTGACACAAGGTTAGAGAAATGTATGTATATATAATATATATTTATATATTTTTTTTCTTTTTTTTTGTTATTGTTGTTGCAGGTCTAGAAAGGGGTAGAAGGGGGCGACCCACGCATGGCAACCCTATCTCTGGGGATTTGTTCCACTTCTTCCCATTTAGATTTGTATTTTACAAAATTCTCCAAAGTTCTGTCCGCGTTTCCTCTCTCCGTGTTTGCTTGCTTGTGTGTGTGTGTGTGTGTGTGTGTGTGTGAGAGAGAGAGAGAGAGAGAGAGAGAGAGGAGGGGGAGGGGGATGTTGAATTACTTACTTTAAATGTTTGATTTTTCTACAAGCAAGTGCTCCCTCAATTTTTCTTATGCCTTTATGTTTTGTTCTTTTCTGCAACCGTCATTGTGGATTTTGTTTTGTGCATTAAAATTATTACTTCATACTTTTTTAGTCTTCATTGTTTGTGGGGTCATTATGTACATCCGTATGTATATATCTACATGTATACATGTGTACCTGTATAACTGAATTGCAGGTATGAATTAGTATAATCTAACAGTACGGCCATTGTACTGATGAGCGAGGACCAAGATAGCATGCTAAATGTCAATTTTGAATGATATTTAGAATTGAGCCAAAATGGTGTGAATTCAAAGAATCGGCATCATTGGGCTTAATATTTGTTATGATGGTGAAGTGTTTCTATGTATGGTGGCTATAAACGCTTCATTTTTTTTTTTTTTTTGCCTCTAGCTTTGATGTTAAGAGGACTTTTGATGGAGTGGAAGAATTTTGTATAGTTGGTTCTGAAATGAAGTTGATTGGTGGTGGAACCAATTTTTGGACAGTCTATTGACCAAAGATATGATGTATGAATATGATTTTGGTCTTTTGTTTTGTTTTTCCTATAGTGTACACAGGTAGCACCCCCTTTGATGCCATAGTTTATAAAATATTTTACTTATAAAAAGTGATGTGAATTGATGATAGTGCTGTTTATGGTCACGTTAATCTTTCTTTGCCCTTTTCTTATTTTATTTGCATCCCAAATTTTTATTGTACTTGTATTTACCAACAATGATTGTGTATACATATTGCTTAGATTCAATTTCTGTTTGTCTGTTTTACTTATTTCATGGTTAACTGAGATACACTTTGGTTTGTAGGACAGTTGCAAGGTTAGTGTTGGCGACTGTGCTTTTTTCAAACTGCCCCAGGATTCCCCGCCTTTCATTAGGAAAACCCGTTGGTTGAAATTTAACAAAGAAAAGAATCTATCGTTAGGTGTGAATTGGCTTTATCGGCCTGCTGAAGTGTGAAGCTTGGCAAGGGCATCCTGCTGGACGCTGTGCCGAACGAAGTCTTCGATTCCTTTCACAAGGAGATACCTGCTGCATCGTTACTCCATCCGTGTAAAGTTGCATTCCTTCCCAAAGGGGTTAAACTTCCTTTAGGGATATCCTCATTTGTCTGCCATCGTGTTTATGACATTGCGAACAAGTGTTTATGGTGGTTAACTGATCAAGATTATATTGATGTGAGTTATAAATCTGTTGTTCAGTTTTCTGTTTTTTTTTTCTTCTTTTTCTTCCTGTCTAATTCTTCTTCTTCTCTTATTTATTTATTTATTTATATATATATATTTTTTTCCCTGAAAATATTTATAACGTATGGTTTCTTTTTATAGGAGCAACAGGAAGAACTAGACCAGCTGTTACATAAGACACAAATAGAGATGCATGCTACAGTGCAACCTGGTGGCCGTTCTCCAAAACCAGTAAATGGTCCAACATCAACGTCACAGTTAAAACAGGGTTTCGATAATGTACAGAGTGCTACTTCCTTCCCTTCTCAAGCTAAGGGTAAGAAAAGGGAGCGGACAGATCATGGATCTGAGCCTGTCAAACGGGAACGTTCTTCAAAGACAGATGATGGTGATTCTGGTCAGTTTAAACCAGAAAGCATTTTGAAATCTGAGATTTCTAAGATAACTGAAAAGGGTGGGCTTGTAGATTCAGGAGTTGAGAGACTGGTTCAACTTATGCAGTCGGATAGAGCCGAAAGGAAGATGGAATTAATTAGCCGGTCAATGCTTGTAAGTGTGATAGCAGCTACAGAAAAGTTTGATTGCCTTAATCGGTTTGTGCAACTCAAAGGTTTGCCTGTGTTAGATGAATGGCTTCAAGATGTCCATAAAGGGAAGATTGGTGACGGTAGCCCCAAGGATGGTGATAAATCTGTAGAAGAGTTTCTCTTGGTTTTGCTTCGTGCTCTTGATAAGCTGCCTGTGAATCTTTATGCCCTACAGACGTGTAACATTGGCAAATCAGTGAATCATTTACGATCACATAGAAACTTGGAAATTCAGAAGAAAGCAAGAAGTTTAGTTGATACATGGAAGAAACGTGTTGAGGCTGAAATGAATGTTATTGATGCAAAGTCTGGTTCAACTCAGGTCATTTCGTGGCCTTCCAGATCACGTCTTCCTGAAGTCTCTCATGGTGGGAACCGAAATCCTAGTGGGTCTTCTGAGGCTGCCATGAAGAGCTCAGTTTCACAGCTTTCTGCATCTGTAACTGGATTAGTTAAGCTTGTCCAGGGTGAGTACACTGCCAAATCTGCTTCCTCATCTCCCGTGCCAATGAAATCAGCGGCGTCACCTGCTTCAGGCAAAGATGGTCAACACAGAATAGCAGTCGGTAGCACCTCTGATCTCCCTTCAACTACTGCAAGGGAGCAGAGGAGCAGCAGTTCAAGTCAGTCTCACAACAACAGTCAATCTTGTTCAAGTGACCATGCTAAAAATACAGTTTTCTCAGGAAAAGAAGATGCCAGGAGTTCTACTGCAAGGTCAAAGAGTGTGAATAAGATTTCTGGTGGTTCTTCTCGACATCGGAGGTCAGTCAATGGTTTCCTTGGGCCTGCTGTGTCTGGAGTTCAAAGGGAAACTGGGTCAAGTAGAAGTTCTTCACTGCACAGAAATTCAGCTTCAGGAAAATTATCTCCGTCTGGGTTAACTTGTGAAAAGGCGCTTGATGTACCCATTGTTGAGGGTAATAGTCACAAGCTGATCGTTAAGATACCAAACAGAGGCCGCAGTCCTGCACAAAGTGCCAGTGGAGGATCTGTCGATGACCCTTCCATTGTGAACAGTAGGGCTTCTTCTCCTGTGCTTTCAGAGAAGCACGATCAATCTGATCGTAATTCAAAGGAACAGAATGATGCTGATCAAGTTACTACTACCTCTGATGTGAATACAGAGTCATGGCAAAGTAATGATTTCAAAGATATATTGACTGGCTCTGATGAAGGTGATGGGTCACCTGATGGCATTCTTGAAGAAGAGCAATGTAGGACTGGGGAAGAGGCTGCAAAATTAGTTGAAGTCTCAAGAGCTGCCTCCTCATCATCAGGGAATGAACTGAAGTCAGGAAAACTGCTTGAGGCTTCTTACAACTCCATAAATGCCTTTATTGAAAGTTGTGTTAAATACTCTGAAGCAAATACATCTATGTCAGCTGGAGATGATGTTGGAATGAAACTGCTTGCTAGTGTAGCAGCTGGAGAAATGTCCATGGCCGATTTGATTTCACCAACTGATTCTCCACGGAGAAACACCCCTACGGTTGAGGATTCCTGCATGGGCGATGGTGACATATCAAAATCTTCACATGGAAATAACCTTACTCGAGAGCGAAGTCAGTCTGCTGATGGTGCTGTTGCTGATACGAAGCATGTAGTTATTTCTGGTACTTCATCCTCTAGGGATGGATTTCATCATTTATCTAAGCATGCCTCTGGTGACTTCCCTGGAGATGGAAAAACTACTTCCATACCCGAACAGACACCAAATGGAGAGGGCAATGAATATAATTCTTCCAATTTGGATTTGCAACCATCTGCAGAACCATGCCTGGAGATTAATGGAAGATCAGACAAACTTAGGGGTGCTGTTTCGTCGGCTGTCTCCCCAGCCAATGCAATAGAGAAGGTATTACATGGTGAAGAAAGTAAACTTCTTCATGAGAAGACGACAACTGTCGCAATTGTTAGTGTTGATGGCATTCAAGCTACTAAACCAAAGGGAAGCTGTTCTTTGTTAACTGAGGATAAGGTCAATAAAGTCCTTTCGAGTCTAGAAGTTGAGAAGGCAGCTGTTGAAGGTTCATCAGTAGAAATTGATGGTGGGAACAAAAATAACACGACTGAAGAATTTAATGGTGGTGATGGTTCGCAGCAGAAACCATCTCCAGGGAAGGTGCAGTCAGAGCATTCAGAAAAAAGTGACGAAAAACTGCTGCATCATTCTGGTTCTAGTAAAGATATGCCTTCAGGAAGTGTTGAACTCAATGGTGGAAAAGCTGATGAAATGGACAGAGACACTGGAAGTCAAGGTAGTCAGTCTGGAAAACAAAAAATTGATCATGGTAACAACAGTGCTGCAACTAATGAAAAACAAAATTTAGCTGGTCCGGGTTCAGCTTCTAGTGATCAGAAGAATGAGGGCTCAGAGGCAAATGTTGAAAGTAAAGGGGTCCCTGGGCACAATTCTGGTGTAGCTCCTCAAAAGGAGTCATCACCTGCATCTTCTGCCCAAGAAGTGGAGCAGCATGTGAAGTCAAAGGGATCCAAGAAAGTAGATGAAACAGAGGAAAGTGCATCCATGCCAGCAGATGATTCTTCTTTTCCTACTGCTGGGGCATCTGATATTCATACAAAGCTGAAATTTGATTTAAACGAAGGATTCATTGCTGATGATGGAAAATACGGTGAGCACATCAATTGGGCAGGCCCTGGATGTTCAGCTTCTGTTCATTTAGTTAACCCCTTGCCTTTTCCTGTTTCTTCAGTATCCAGTGGCCTTCCCGCTTCCATTACAGTGGCTGCTGCTGCAAAAGGGCCCTTTGTTCCTCGAGAGGATCTATTGAGAAGTAAAGGAGAAGTTGGATGGAAGGGATCTGCTGCTACCAGTGCATTTCGGCCAGCTGAACCCAGGAAGGTTCTGGAGATGCCACTACCTGATGCCACTGCCCGAAAACGTGGTCGCCCTCTGTTGGATTTTGATTTGAATGTACCTGATGAAAGAATTCTTGATGACATGGCTTCTCGAAACTCTGCCCAGGAGACATCTTCTACATCTGACCATATAAGCAGTCGTAACTTGGCACGAAATGTTCTGATGGGTTCTGCACCTGTTCGTAGTTCTGGAGGTCTTGATCTTGATTTGAACGAAGTTGATGAAGCAAGTGATATAGGGCAGTACTTGACAAGCAGCAGTCGTAGACTAGAAGCTTCGCTTCTGCCAGTTAAGTCATCATCATCATCAGATGGATTTCCTAAGTGTGAGGTAAGGAGGGACTTTGATCTAAACGACGGGCCTGTCTTTGATGAAGCAAGTGCTGAACCATCATCATTTAGCCGGCACGGCAGAAGCAGCATTCAATCCCAGCCACCTGTTAGAATGAATAATGCAGAAATGGGAGCCTTCACGTCGTGGTTTACAACTGGGAACACTTACCCAGCTGGCACAATCCCATCGATTTTGTCCGATAGAGGGGAGCAGCCTTTTTCCATTGTTGCAACAGGTGGGCCACCAAGGATGTTGGGGACCACTACTGGTGGGACCCCGTTTAGTTCAGATGTTTACAGGGGTGGTTCAGTGTTGTCATCTTCTCCTGCAATGCCCTTCCCATCTACTCCCTTCCAGTATCCTGTCTTCCCTTTTGGGGCAACTTACTCTCTTCCCTCGGCCAATTTCTCAGGTGGATCTACAACCTATATTGACTCCTCATCTGGTGGGAGGTTTTGCTTTCCAGCTGTCAATTCACAGTTATTAGGCCCTGCTGCTACAGTGTCACACTCTACGTACTCAAGGCCTTATGTTGTTAACCTTACAGATAGTAGCAATAATGTTGGTTTAGAAAACAATAGAAAATGGGGCCGACATGGTCTAGACCTGAATGCTGGTCCTGGAAGTCGAGACATAGAAGGCAGAGATGAGACTTTGCCTCTTGCATCGAGGCAACTTTCTGTTGCCAGTTCACAGGCACTAGCAGAGGAGCAAGCAAGGATGTACCAGCAGTTGACGAAGAGGAAGGAGCCCGAGGGAGGTTGGGATACTGAGAGCTTTAGGTACAAGCAATCATCGCGGCAGTAAGGATGCATTATGCCCAGTCTGGCAACCCGTGCAAGGCTCCAAGGCCTGGTGAGTTTTACTTGCATGCATTATCTGATTATGCTCAAAGTTCAAGCTGGCTTATACTGCAGATTGGCTCGTTTGCATTCGTTTTCTGCAATCTGTTCTTCAATACAAAGTCAGTCTTTTTTATAATGTTTAGTTTACTGGAATGAAATGTAATGGAATGGAATAGAATAGAATGTGTTTCTTTAGCCTCCTAAGGGAATATGGAATGACTATTCCCTTATAATGGTAAATGATGGTAAATGATGATTCTGTTTTGCAATATATATATATATATATTTATCATTTTTTGGTAACCCAAATGTGGGAATGGACATTTGATGGAATGATCATCCATTCCACTTCATTTCAGTGAACCAAACATACCATTTTAGTGTTTAGTTACTCTTGAAATGAGGTTGATTTAGCCAAACAGGAAGAGTACATGTTATGACATGAAATGCTAGAAGTAAAGCATCAAGGATGATTTCAAAATTTGCTGATGCCTGGATTCTGCGGTCGGAGAGTAGACGATATCAAAGCAATTTTGAGACGGTTTTCATCATTAAAAATTTAAAATGGTGGAAATCTGCAAGATTTTTGTCCTTGATTGAGAAATGCAAATGATAACATGGAGAACTTTCTTACCAGTTTTTAGTACTGTCTGTTTTTTGAATTTTGAAAATGAATAGCAGTGTTGTAAATGATAACTCACATACTACAAAGAATATTCCGTTTTGGTTTCTCTCAGTTTTCTCCACATTTTGGGAGAGAATGTTCAACTGAGGAGATTTTTCTCTTCACATTTTCTTGTTCCATCTCTTCATGGAAAACTGAGAGTAGTTTTAGATCCTTATCACATTTCCTTGTCTATCTCTTCATGGTAAATATTGAGATTTTTTCCCCTCAAAATCCTTCCATTTGCTCTGAAGCATTTACTATTGTGTTTACCTGTATGTGTTTAGGGTGATTGTTAACTAGTTTTTTTGATCTGCCAAGTCTAGTGCATTTTCTTCAAATGATTTTTCACACCAGTCAACTTTGTTCTGTTTGTTTTGTTTTTGTCCCAGTTCTTTGAAAGTGGGCAATGGCTAACTCCTGCAATTTGTCTAACCGGTGTGCTCTAAAGAGGATGGGCAGTAAGTGACTTACAAGATAATGGTCATTGGCTCCAACCCTCCACCTCTTACCCTGTGTCAATTGTACCATGAAGTCTCCTTCATGGGCAGCTGCAGATTGTTCTCCAATGTAGATACGTTAACTGTCTGGGACAGCATGCACTTGACATTGCCCAAACACTGGAAAATTGTTGTCTATATGCCATGAGACCCAACACCATGTCCAATCTAATTCTTCTGGTAGTCGAGGTTGGATTTTTTGCACTTTTGTGCTTTGTTGTTAATTCTCTCTCTCAGTTTCTTTTCTCCATTACATATATATTATATATAAACAGATTGGCCCTCTAGCTTTTCTTGATATGGCATGATTTAGTTGGTATCACTGCTATTGTCTTAATTTGATTAGACTTTTTTAGCCCTAGTTGTAGTCTCATTCTACACCCTTTATCACTGCTATTCTCTTAATTTGATTATACGTTTTTAACCCTAGTTGTATTCTCATTCTCTACTCTTTGAATTCTTGCAAGTGATGCTTATTATTTGGGAGGTACAAATCTGTTCTTCATTGAGAAACCAAGGTTGCGTTTGGTATTGTTTTGTAAATATGATTTGAGAGTATGAGTTGTATTTTGAGTTTGTGAGTTTTAGAATTATGATTTGAGTGTGAAAAATTTATTTGGTGAAAGAGTTTTGAAAAGAGTGGAAACTTTTTGATGTGACATATGATATTTGATACAAAAACTTACAACTCATAACTAAACATACAACTCAAAATTTTATTAAAGCACATAAATTTTTTTAAAAATTCAGAAAATATATTTTTTGAATATATAAAAATTAACATATGTCAATTGCCAAAAAAAGAAAAAAAATTGCACTGTTCCGGTTAACCGGCCGGGCAACCGGTGGGATGCCTGGTTAGATCAAATTTGAAAAAAAAATAAAAATTGAAAATCGCGCCTCAGACAGGGTTTTGTGCAGAGTTTTGTAATTGTTGTAGAAATGTGATTTGAGTATGGTATTGAAACATTATGTTGGAATGTGGGGTTAGAAGTATAGTTTGGAAATCATTCCAAACAGAGCTCATATTTTTATCATTCTTTTCTCACCTGGTACTTGTATACGTATTATATATTGATATTTCCTTGATATTAGTGGATATGTATCGAATACTTTCTAAATGTATCCGATGCTAGATATTAAATTTTGTTTTGTTTTAATAAAAATTTTGAGAAGTACCGAATGCTTTTAGGATATTCTAGGTCATGAATTATTTTGAAAGTGAGATTGTAATAATTCTTGCACAACAATAGTGAATAAAAAGCTAATGAGATTAAAGTATTACTTCAACTTTTTCAAAATGCATGAAATTGATGTATGTTTATAAATGTGTAATATACGCATGTCATAGTTTGTTGATCAATCCCCCTAACAGAAAAATTTAAATGACTTTAATGCACTTACCCATAGTCTCCATCCCACTCTCCCTTCATAGCTCATTTCTCTCTTTTTACCACCGACAATTTTGGTCGACACTCTTTAAAACATTTCATTAAACATGTGGGACAAAAAAATTCCAATTCTATTACTACTAAAAATTCAAGCCAAATAAAGTTAAAAAAGCAATTGTTCCATAACAAACAAATTAGAGAGAGAGAGAGAGTGTAAAGATTATTAATTTTGAAGAAGAGGCCTAGGTTGCTGGTGATGTTACTGTTGCGATCCAGCAAACAAATTAATTGATGATGTTAGCAAATGGTGTTAACTAACTTAACGGTTAATTTGACTTATTCACCAAAAAACCCCAAAAAAAAAAAAAAAGACTTAACGGTTAATGAACGAAAGAAGCAAATTGAAACGAGATTATAAATTTTAAAGAAAAAAAATATAATTTTTAAAATGTTAGGGAGATATCTGTATCAAAACAAAACTTCATGAGTGTAGTAATATACCCTTAAAAAAAATGATGTGTTGTCCGTGTTTTATTCAATTGAAAATGTTATAGGTCTCACTATTTTTATCAAATATCTTACATAGATATAGGACTTACACATGTGAGCATGTGAGATATTTGGTCAAATATTTAGTAGAAATGTTGGTATTCCTAACATTACTTAATTTTTTTTTTAGATAGGGATTATTGTTTCAAATAGTTTATACTTAATATTGAAATGAAATTTTCATATTGACTTACTTAAAAGAAGTATGGTTGGCGATTGATTCTTAAATTAATACATAATTCTTACCATTCTTTGAGCTTATATATAATATAATATTTAAAATTATAAAATATATTTTGTATCATGCTTGTTCTAAACCCTAAATTATTGGCAATTACTACCTCTGTCCCATAGTAGGTGTATATATATATATATATATATTAACTTCTGTACTTTTTTCTCCCAATATCTTTTGAGTTTGTAGGCTGGACGCTCGAGCGCTGAAAGTGGTGCTCGAGCAGAGAATGTTGATTCCCAGTTATTTCCCTATAGTTCTGAAAAAAAAAATATATATATATATATATAACTGAACTTTTGAGTCTCATAATTAAGTTGTTAAACGAGTTAAACTATTAGAGTTTGACTTGTGTTTTAACTCATTAAATGTTTGTTTAACATTAACTTGTAATGTAGATAGGTTAATCTTGAACACAATTCCGTTAAAATTTTAAATTAAATGTGAACAACATACTACTAGTCGCGCTAAATTTATATGTATTATAACAAATAGGCGAAATAACAATTCAGTGTGAAGTTGGAAATTTGTTTTCAAATCAGTGGTGAAATTTATGAATTTTAACTATTAAAGTGTTAAACTTTTCCATCAACTTGTAATTATTTTTGAAAGATAGGACTAAGGTGTAATTTCTCCTAAAAAATAAGCTACTCTAACTTGCCTTGTTAAAAGTTCGTTTAAATCTACTCGTTGGATAAACAAGTCTAGTTTAAACATACTTTAAAACTTGTTAAATTTTTTTACTAAATTTAAACGACATAATACTCGGTTGGACTTTGCTTATTTATAGCCCCTTCCCTAGAATTATGAGGATGACTTGATAAATTCTTATCAATTTTATAATTTGATCAATTAGACTAGACATTTTTTTTAATATTTTAACCAAAATATGAAGTGAAAAAAATTAGTATATTTGAGGTATTTTTTGACTTTTTACGAAAAAAGTACAAAACATCAACAAGAAAGAGAAATTTTGACTTTTTATATAATTATTTTATTTTTTTAACATTTTTATGATTTTATTTTTTTAACTTTTTAAATATTTTTTCAACTTTCCAAACTTGAAGTATCACTTTAAAATTTTCAAAATATATGGAATTGAAGTATGTTTATAAATGTGAAATATATATATATATATATATATCTGTCATATCTATACCTATAACTTTTTAGAAAGTGAGGATTAAAAAAAAATTATGATACTAAAAATTGGAGTTTGACAGTTAAAAAGCAAGTAAACTTTTTGCTTATAATATAGGAAAGGGAAAAAGTACAAGGGTGATAAATATGATTTAGACTTAATATTGAAATAAATTTTTTATATTAACTTATTAAAAAAAAGTAATAATTGACCATTAACTCATAAATTAATACATAATTCTTATCATTTCTGAGCTTATAATTTTCCTTTTAGAGTGCTTATTGGGTACTCTTAGAGTATGGTCACGTGGTTCTCCATAATATTATGATTGGTGAAAAATGTAAGGTATTATAATTTTATATTGAATGATCAAAGAATATGAAAGAGTATGGTAAATAATAATTGGTAAAGAAGTATGGACATATAATACTTCTCATCAATTAATACACAATTTTTGAGATTCTAATTTTCCTTTCATGGATGTATCTTAGGTGTATCTGTCTTGTACTCATATTTTGTATATGTGTTCAAGCTTGTCCTAAACCCTAAATTATTGGCAATTATTGATAGAAATGGTTGGAAAAATTTTGGGTAAAACTAGAATTTTTTTCTAAGTTTGGTCTATTTTTTAAGTGGGTCGCGTGTGTTAATTTTCGCAGGTCAAAGTGGTAACGCGTTCTATGCCGCGTTGTGATTCACGTGGTATATTTGGTTGCTCAAAACCATTATCGAGTTAATGGAAGATTGAAGCCAAAGTGTGCTCCATGAAAATGGAGTTTTGATGGAAATTCCTTAAGGTTGGAAAATGGCTTGTCGCACATTGATTTGGTGGGAAGTTTTGAATGGGTTTATAAGGCATGAGATTGGAACTTGGGGTGTGCCCCAAGGGGTACCCAAGTTTTGTAGAGAGGGAGGTTATGGCCAAAATGGGCTAGATCCATTGGACCCAAAAATCACCACACGCGGGCACCATCATCGCCGTCCGATTAGGCTGGGCTTGGGCGTCGATGCATGGTGTGAGGTTAGGTTGGGCTTGTCTAGCCCAATACTAATCTTTTTGGGCCAAAAATATTTGAATTTTATTTTATTTGGTTATAAATAAAATCTGTCCGTTTTTATTTCAAATTCTAAATTCAAATTTTTTGGTTTGCACCTCTTCAGAAATTTTGCACAGTTTCGGATCTATCCAAACCGAATTTGTTTAAATTCAAATATGAATTGTTTAAAATTCAAACCAAACAGTGCCTACAGTTTTTGTATATGTTTGATTTAAATTGAACAGGTATGCTACCTGTTTAATTCAAAACCAGCAGCCACCAATCCATCTATAAATAGGCAGTCCTCATTTGATGAATTGATTCACAATTTTCGTTCTTCCTTGCTGCAAATTCATCTCTACATTTTGCTGCATTTATTCTATTATTTTTTCTACAAGAAAAAGTGTAAACATTTAGTATATTCGTTGAACAAATAAATTGTAGTGCTGTATTTATTTGTTGTTGATCATTTCATCCTGGGAGATAGACGTTCATATTCTGAAAACACTATGGAGAGGACGAATCTGTCTTAAGGACACAGTGTCGAACACTGGACTTGATCATAATAATATTCAAGATATTAATCAAGTAAGTTATTTATTTATTTTCTGTTTTATTATTTATTTAAATCGGATTTTAATTTTGTTTATGTAACAAATTAAAATCTGTTTTTATTTATTTAATTCTTTTTCTAGTTTGATTTTTGTAATCAAACATTCTCTCTGCTTTTCTATTTTTCTTTTATATTCTGGTTGTCGTTTAGTACTCAAACAGAGTTAATTATTTTAATTACAGTGAAGATTGTCCAACAATTATTTCCTCTGCTCCCATGGTAGGTGTATATATCTTATGTAACTTGCCCTAAAACCTAATTTGTTGGCAATTCCTTCCTCCCTCCCATGGTAGGTAGGATTTGTGCAAAATATCGTCTAATTTATTAAAATCGCACCGACTCATATCAATTCGTAGCGTTTTATCTACTAACCGCGGTTTAAACTTTAAAATTTATAATCCGCCTTCGAAACTGCTCCGCTCCACTATAGTTAATATATATATATATATATATTTTGTAACCT